TATCATCCTGGTTAGGCCAATGTTGTGGCGGATGCGCTGAGTAGGAAATCCATCCACATGTCTAGTATGATGGTGAGGGAGCTGGAGCTAGTTGAGGAGTTCACAGACCTGAATCTCCATGTGGAGTTAGCTCAGGATCACATTAGTTATGGAATGATTACCATAACTAGTGAGTTCTTGAGGCAGGTTGGACTCAAGCAGTTGCAGGATGTGGAGTTGGTGAGACTTCTTAGTTTGTTGGGTACCGAGAAGGCTGTTGGTTTTGAGCTGGGAGAAGATGGAATCTTGAGGTTCAAGGGCAGAATTTGCCTACCTCAGGATGCTGAGCTGAGGAGAGCTGTGTTGGAGGAAGGCCACAAGAGCAGACTTAGCATACATCCAGGTATGACTAAGATGTACCAAAACCTCAAGAAGACTTTCTGGTGGTCTGGTATGAAGAGAGAGATAGCTGATTATGTAGCGGCCTGTCTAACCTGTCAGAAGGCGAAGGTTGAGCATTAGAAGTCGAGTGGGTTGATGCAGTAGATTGAGATTCCAGAATGGAAGTGGGATAGTATCATTATGGACTTCATCGTCGGGTTGCCTAGGTCGGCTAGGAATAGTGATGCTATCTGGGTGATTGTTGATCGGTTGACCAAGTGTGCACATTTCTTGCCTGTCAACATCAGGTGGTCCTTGGAGAAGCTGACACAATTGTATGTGAGAGAGATAGTACGGTTGCACGGGGTGCCTTCCAATATTATTTTCGACCGAGATCCGAGGTTCACTTCCAGATTTTAGCAGAGTCTACATCAAGCCCTGGGCACGAAGCTGAAGCTGAGTTCTGCTTATCATTCGCATATGGATGGTCAGTCGGAGAGGACAATCTAGTCCTTGAGGATCTGTTAAGGGCTTGTGTGTTAGACTACTTGGACCCATGGACCACTTGTGAAAGTGGTCCTTCAGAGAATTCAACTTAAACTTAAACTACATTGGCTTTAGGTCAAACATCATGGTATAATTTGGGCTACATTAGACTTGTGCCAAACATCATCGAGTCACTTTGGCTACATTGGGCCAGGTTCAAACATTATTGGATTATTTAGACTTTACAAGATTTGGATCAAACACCACTATTTCATTTAAACTATTCTTTTTGGATACAAATTATAAAGTATTCTTGAAAGTTTTTTATTAAATTTTTTTTTTCAAAAATCAAACATGTTTTATATTACACGTGTTTCATTATATTTGGGTCAAACATATTTGTATCATTTGGTCTATATTAGTCTTGAGTTAAATGTCAATGTAGCATTTGGGTTTTATTGGACTTGGGTCAAACATCATTATATCACTTTTGTTGCATTGAATTTGAGTTTTAATCACTTGAGTTTCATTGGGTTTGGATTAAACGTCACTGTATCACTTAGGTTACATTGGGCTTTTGGGGGGAAACATCACTATGTTACTTGAGCTTCATCATACGTAGGTGAGCATCATTGCATCACTTGGTTTATGTTAAGCTTGACTTAAACATCACTATATCACTTGGGCTATTCATTGGGTTTAAGTTAAACATTACAATATCACATGGGCTACGTTGAGCTTAGATCAACCATCACTGAATCACTTGCGTTACATTTTACTTAGGTTAAACATCTTTGTAGCAATTGGGCTTATCTTCCATGTTGCACTTATAATGCTAACTTACACGTACTAAACTGATAAAATTACACGCCCTTGCACTTACAAAAAACTTCTCATAATATTAAAATTTGCATTTAGGCTTTTAATCCTTTTCTTTTTAAAAAGTTAGTTTATAAGGTGAATGTTGTCTTCCTCATGTATATAATAATTTTGGCCACATAGTCATCTTATTAATAAATATTGATTTTTTTTATGACATCTCAAACGTAAAATTTATAAATATTAAATATCTACAAACACTTTAATATTGTTTTAAAATTTATATTTGAGTTTAACTAAGTCCAATATTTTGTGTTATCATTTATATACACTATTTTTATCTAATTAATTTAAGATATTTAATACATATCGACAAAAAAACAGATAAAAATAAACATACAATTCCATAACTAGGATAGTACATCCATGACAATTGTTAGAATAGATAAGCGTTTATCGTAGTAGAATTTCAAGCAATTAAAGACACAATTCATGTAGCCATAAGAAAAGGAAGATGCAAATAATGAATTTTGTTTTTATGCTTAATTACACACAAGACCAAACATACCAGTGCTACTACTAATCCATGAGAAGACTATATATCTTGGTTAACCTGTCCTTTAACAACAAACCGGCGCCAAAACCAGTGTTTGCCCCATATGTTGTACATTGAATCCAAAGGAATTCCTTTAGTCTCGGGCAAGAATAGTATAACAAAGACGGTGATGAGTGCAATCCAACAAGCATAGAAGAGGAAAGCCCCAAACTTAAAGTGGCATAGCATTGTCAAGAATGTCTGGGATAGAATAAACACGGTTAAGAACTGCACAGCCACGGCTATGCTTTGTCCAGTGGATCTGATCTTTAAGGGGAAAATCTCACTCGGAATTAGCCAGCAGAGAGGACCCCACGACCAACCAAAACCTGCGGCGTACAAACACAACAGCACCAGCACCAATATGGCATTGCCCTTTGACATGTGCTCTGTACCATGAACACCACTCACCACTGCCAACACAACAGCCACCCCAAGCTTCACAATGATCACACATGTTAGTACCAGACCAAGTGCATCATCACATATCCAATCAATATTTCAACCTCGATTATGGCCAATCGATCGCTACAAATATTTGGTGGTGGTCCCTCTAATATTTTGTGTATCGATGTAAATGTAATATTTGATGTTGGACACCCTTTATAGTTATACTAGGGGAAATGCCTCTCTGTTTTGTAAAAAATAAAAATAAAAATAAAAATAAAAAAATGATGGCATGGAAAGTTATATGAAGTGAGAGTGTTAGAGAGAGTAACAAAATTCAATGTCACTGCATCAACTAATAATGCGAATTATTTATTTAAAAAGAATATTGAATGTGCTAAGTACGTAGTCTAAACTCAAGTGTAGACTGTAGGTAGGTGCATGTATGTGTATTTTGATTAAAAAAGTGAATTAATTACCATGCAGAGAAGCATCTGAAGGCCACCCACAATGAACAAGAATCTCCGACCAAAGCGATCAACAACAGCGGTTGAGACAAGTATGGAAGCAAGATTAACGAGTCCAAGTATAACCGCCGAAAGCAAAGCGGAGTGATTGCCAAATCCTACAGACTGAAAGAGGTTAGGCGCATAGAAAGCGACAATGTTGATCCCTGTAAGCTGCTGAGACAAGGGAATAGCAAAGGCCATCACCAACTGAGGCCGATACTCCTTCTCGAATATGCTCACCAACCTCTCCTGCTCCTTCACGGCCTTGGAAGCATTCCACGACTGAATCAGCTGTTCCAGTTCGGCGTCCACGTCCACGGTGGCTCCCCTCACTTTGCGCAACGCGTTTCGCGCTTGCTCTACGTGGCCCCGCTCGACTAGGCTGCTCGGTGTGTCGGGGATCAGGGTCGCTCCGATTGTCATGATCATTGCGGGGACTGTCGCCAGGCCCAGGGAGAGCCGCCACCCCCACGCCACCCTCGCCGTGCCGTAGTTTATGCAGTTCGCGGCCACCACGCCCATTCCGATGAAGAATTGGAACCCCGTGTTGAACGCGCCTCGCCATTTCGGAGGAGCCATCTCCGAAAGATACACCGGTGTTGCCTTTCCTCGTTGTCACACAACACATCAAAGGGAATTTAACAATTATTAATATTAAATATATTAATTATTTAAAATAAAATAAAATTATGTTTAATTAATTAAAATCAATCATATTATAATTAATGATTTGTTTTATATTTTTTATAATTAGGGTTGGAGATAGAAGAATTTATAAATGAAATTTTACTAACTTGATTAGTGAAACCCACTCCGAAGCCGAGCAAGATACGACCCAAGATGAGCATAGCAATATTTTCAGCACCACCGTTAATGGCAGCGCCGGCGAAAAAGGTACAGCCACCGAAGATCATGGTGTTTTTCCGACCCAACGCCGTCGTGACCCGGCCGGCCAAGAGAGACGAAACTAGTCCCGCCAGATGAAGGGAGGACGTAAATAACGTTAACAACTGATTGTCGTAGACGCAATACACGTTTGTTTCAGCTCTAGCGGACTTTCTCAATATGGATGGGAAGAATTTTTCAAGAAATGGTTTCATCGTAGTGACACCTCCTGAAATTGTCTATCATCATTTTAGATTTTGGACATATTTGTAAAAATCATTGGCGTATAATACAAATGAAAACTAAACTAACAAAACGAATCACATGTTAGTTTCCTTTATTTCGATTTAGGAAACAAGGAAAGGAAAATGTTCTAAGCGTTCGTGGTTAGCTAGGTAGTACATCTTAACTGGACTTCTTTAACGTGACTTAATTTGACCAATGACATATTCAGGCTTTAAGTGCAATTTTATGTTTCGAGAAATTCATGAAATTATTTATTCGTATAGTGATATTAGGGTTCACAAACAATAATAATACCAAAACTATTGTGTAAAAGTAATAAAAAAAATTATAAAGACAATAGATTAAAAATAACATATAAAAATTATTTAAGACATATAAAGATATAAAATTATTTGGATATACATCAAGATTTATAATTAATTTGCATTAGGTCAAATTGATATCCAATAATAAGTTATTTCCATGAAACCCAAAATATGTTCTTCCTTCTCTCATAGGACCAAAATATCTCTCTTTTTTTATTTCATGTTTTAATATCTTAAAACATTAAACAGTATTTTATAACATATACTTTTTAAAAAAAATGAAAAATTGATTTTAAAGTAAACAGTTTCAAATATTTCAAATATAAATTAATAAATTATTTTTAAACTAGAATAAAATTGTTTTTCTTGTAAAATTTATTTATTTATATCCTCGCTCTTTTGAATCTTTTTCACACGTCATATAAATAGATATAAAAATTTCTTTACGTTTTTTATTTCTATTCATCCAAACAATACACATGAGAAATTAATTCTAACTAAAATTAATTTTAAATCAAATAATTCGAAATAAATTTTGCATTGGATAAAAAAAATTATACTCAATTTTACAACTAAGTCTAAACTTAAATCACGACTTTGTCATTTTAATACATATATATATATATATATATATATATAATTTAAATAAAGAGTCCGATTCCCTGGACTTGCAACTAATTAATCAGCTTGACTTGACGAGTAGATGAACGAAGAGAAAAAAGAAAAATTATTCACCAAATGTTCCAATTATCGACGTTTGACGTTTAGGTGAATACCGACAGAAAATAAATACTAACGATTAATAAGAAACCCCTTTTTCCTCTTATCGTTTATCATTCTCTTTTGGTGTAACAGTTCACTCATGGAAAATACTAACAATTAATAAGAAACTCACACCAAACGTATGAATAGGCACATAGTTTGTTCCTCCTTTGTTGTCCTTGATAAGGGACTAAAGCCCAAAAAAAAAGTCTTATACTCGTATGGATGCTTAGGATCACTAATTAAAAGAATAGTGAATGGTGAAATATAAGTTTGGAAGAAAATAAATAGGAATGAGATTTAAGAAGAAAAACCTGTAATTCCGATGTCATATCCAAAAATGAGTCCACTGGAAGCAGCAACGATGCAAGTGACGAGAACGGAGAGTGTTATGTTGCCGTTGAAGGCGTTGGCTGAAGCATCAACGGCCATTTTTGTGGCTCTCGTCTTTCTCTGTTAACGCACTGAAGCTGCTACATAAATTTGTTAGCTCCTACTCCTATGTGAGCAAACAACTTTGATATATAATGAGAGCGTGGAAATTGGGTGAACTAATAAAAAGATTGAGGGGTATGTGGGGCTTCTGTTGCAAATTGTTCATCGTCAACCCACCCCAACAATGACGTAGGTCATAGCCATAAATTTTTAATATATTCTTTTATTATAAATATAAAATAACCAAAAACTCATTAAATGAAAAGGATAAATTTATTATTATTTTTTAATAATTTTTAATAAATTTTAATCAATAATAAGAGTATATTGTTAATTTTTTTTAAATAATAAACACGAGATATTGTTTTTACATTCGTAATTAAACTTTATATTTTCAACTTAGCTATCATAAATTACGGTATACATCATTTTCAAAATAGTTAAAACAAAAATCAACAAATTTAATCCTTAGACTACTTTATCTATTATACTGAGTGCATGGATTCATAAAAATATCTTTAGAAATTTAAAGTAAATAAATTTTGATATAAATTTAGTCAAGTATAACCATTTTTAAAAGTAAATCAAAATCGTACTGATCGACTTTACTGTAAGAAGTCAAATTAAACTATTGAAGATACATTTTAAAGAAACATTAAATTAAAGTATTATACTATCGAAGATATTCATGAAATATTAAATAAATTATAGTTTATAGAATATTTAATTTTTAATAGATTCAATGGGCATACCGGTAATATAAAAAAATTTACATTGTCACTCAATCTAAAACCATCATTTGAATGATTCTTATTTTTTTTCTTCTAAAAGTTGGTAGAATGATTTTTCTCAACAAAAAAAAAGTTTATAGAATGAAAAGTCACTCTTAATAGTATTCGATACGATATCAATGACATACTAATAAGATAATCAGCAAAGATCAACTTAGAGGTTTATTACATTGGCATGAATTACAAACAATTTCACTTAATTACAACTAGTTACTATACACCATAATCTCTATGAGAAGATTATTTACCAAGTAAAAAAAGTAACGACCGAAGGATTGAAATTCACACCCATAAAAAAGGTGAAAGTGACTTGCGATTATTAAAAACAACAAATTTATCATACATGGAGATTAATAATTAAATGACAATTTGAATTTATTCTTTAAAATTAAAATTTATTCTCTAATTTTTATAATTTGAAAAAAAATTATTTTAGTTTCTATGTCCAAATATTGTTAGTAAATCTCTAAAATAAAATCCATTTATTATTAATTTTGTTATAGAAAATCCACATATACTATCCTTTGCTAATAAAACATTACATTAGAAATTCATTTATGCCGCACAACTGACTCCCTTTGTTATAGAAAATTGTTTGATTGATTGAATTTTTTTAATTTTTGTGATCAAATTTATACTCATTAGTTTAAGTAATTAGATGAGTATAATTTCCTTGTCAATATATAGTATACCAAATTCCAACATTTTCTATATATTATTGTCCATAAATAAATTTCAACATCTTCTATATATATTATTGTGCACAAATCTTTTTCAATAAGTAATAAAATATGTTTTTAATAAGTAAAAAAATAAGGACTTGTTTGTTTAAGATTTTTTAATATATATATATATATATATTAATTAATTAGTAAAAATAAATATTTTTTCACTTTTTTTTATATATTTGTCTAAAAACTACTATATTCAAATATTTTAAAATAAATAATTCCTATTTGTTTCTTAAAATTATATTTTTTAATTATTTTTTTATTATCATTTTTTAAATTTTAAACGAACTACCCAAATATTCAACATCGATATATTTTAATACCCATTTCAAATAATTTATCCAATAAAATCGCTCTAATAGCGAGAATTCAATTTGTACAAATATTAAATTTAAATTTTTATTTATATATTATATTTTATCATATAAAGTTGTTAAAAAAACATTGTTAAGGAATTTTTTGTTGACTTAAAATAAAGGTTAAAAATTAATTGTTAATAAAATTAATTTCATTTTATAATTAATTATGATTAATAGTTGATTTATAACATTTATTTATATAATAAAATGCATCCAATAATAAGATTTGGAGAATAACATTGACATGCATAAAGTAAAACTTTTATCTTTTTGTTTTTTTGACATCGGTAAATTTTTTATTAAAATATATAAAATTATTAATATTTGAAGTAATTTTTCTTCAAAATATTTCGTTAATATAGAGAATAATAAAAAAAAAAATACTCAAAATAAACATTAAAATTGATTATGAAAATTTGGAGCAGCTCTTACTCAAAATAATTTCGTCTGGATAAGGAATAGTTAAGAAATTTTTTTTTTGTCGATTCAAAATACAAGTTAAAAATTAATTATTAATAAGATTAATTTTCTTCTAGAGTTAATTATTAGTAATGATTGATTTATAATATTTATTTATATAATAAAATGTGTCCAATAATAAGATGTGAATGAAAATGTTGACATGCATTTATTTATTTTTTTTTTTTTCAAATAGAAAATAATTAAGAAATTTTGTTGACTCAAAGTAAATGTTAAAAATTCTTTTAAAAAATGTTTAAAATTGATAGGGTTAGTAGTAGTGGTAGTGTTGGTGATAGTAGTAGATGTGATTGTGGTAATGATGTTATGGTAGTGATGATAACAATGAAGGTGATAGTAGATGTAATAACAGTGATGATGATAATAATGATAGATGAAATGAGAATAATATCACGTGATAATTTTATTTGTAATATTTTAATCTAAATTATTTATTTTAATATAAAAATTGTTATTAGTTGTTATGATGTTCTCATATTAGTAAGTGTTCTTATTTACGACAGGGAGCCAATGACATGTCAAAGATTCTTAAACAAACACTACTGTCCACTTATTAATTAATCAAAATTCAGTATCTAATTTGACCTAAAATTTTATTTGTTGAATTAAAGGTACTAGAGATTTACTAGAAGAATTTCATGTCTAACACCAAAAAATCTCTTTAAATATATAATCAATAGTTCAATTTAAAATGAATTTTAATGAATCAGCTGTTAAATTAAAAAAATTTATCATATAAATAAGTGGGCAATTTTTTACAAAATTTAAAAATTAAATAATGGATACCTAAACTAAAGTTAACGTATATCTATTTTTTTTATTTATAAAAAATGTTATTTTTATTTTTAATTTCTTAATTCTCATCATATATTCACATGCATACACACAATCAAAAAAAAATAATTATTATTTTTTGTGCGGAGAATCTAGATGAATCCAGAAAGTAGAAAGTAGAAACTATAACATTTTCACTATAAACTATTCATTTGCAGCCCATGTCAGCAACTAGCTGTGTCAGCACCGAACTATCGTGGCACCACAGCAACATTATTGGCATTTGTCTCGCAACTCATTGTCACTCTCACTCCATCCATCATAATATGTAATGGATTGACCATAGACATATTTCTCTCTCGATCTATTGGCAAACACAACGGGAAACGAGGATAAGATGTGGCGTGGCGAAGTCTCAAAACATGCATTTGCGCATAATCGCGTGTGGGACAGCCACGTTTGACTTAATTTACCCATTCTTTAATTTTGTGCACTATTCCCTTCTCCATTGTCTTTTTCTCCCACAATATAATACAATAGCAGAGACTCTGTGAAAAGTGAAGAACAACAATGTCGACGTTGAAGGTGCCTCAATCTCCTCCCTCCGTTGCCGATGACTGTGAGCAGCTACGAAAAGCCTTTGCAGGTTCACCATTCTTCAAATTTCGTTTTGAATTTTAATGATCTAATCAGTATAAATAGATTATTTCACACCATGCTTCTTGTTCTTTTCTAGTCATGTAGTGGTTCGATCTGTGCATGTGCATATACCTGTACAGGTTGTTAATAATCGAACGTGTTGTTGATTTGTAAAGTGGTCTTTTTTGGATCATAAATGCTTCTTGTTCTTTTTTGGATTAAAGTGATATTATATATATGGTATGGACGAATGGTCTACCTGATGATTAGTGAGTTTGGATTGTCAGAAAGAACCATTTAATCTAATTCAAGATCAGGTTACATGATTATGCTTTTTCGAGTTGTTTTAGTAATAGTGTGTTTTATATGTTGTGATTTTGTTTTCAGCTTTAAGGATCGAGTCATGGGTTTATACATTCCTTGTGTGTTAACTTTTGATGGGTTTTCAATTAACCAAATGTAATTGTAGGTTGGGGAACTAATGAGGGATTGATTATATCGATCTTGGCTCATAGGAATGCTACACAAAGGAAGCATATCCGAGAAACTTATGCGCAGACCCATGGAGAAGATCTCCTCAAGGTCTTGGACAAAGAACTCACCAGTGATTTTGAGGTCAGTGCAGGAATAGAGTTTTCCCATAATTGCATATTTCTCTGAATAACTCTGTATTGTGATTCACCGGATCAAGTATCACATGTTAAATACACTCCCTTTCCATATATGAGGATGTTCATGTTCCTATTCTGGTACTTGTATGTATACATAAATGAGCATCATTCGAGGGATTGTAGAAAACACCGATTTTATCTGAGTTTTGGTTATTGAAATTTAAATACACAGTTATAATTAAAACCTTGCTTTAGGGTCAAGTTCAAGAAGATATTAAACTGATTAAGTGGGGAGCATGACATAACTGGTGATGAAAACTGATGATAAAACTATCATGTAGGAATAATATGCCTATCTTTATTGGGTTTTTGAATTTGATGTGCATGAATTTTCTCCTCACTAGAGGTTGGTTCGTCTTTGGACACTTGATTCCACTGAACGTGATGCAACTTTGGCAAACGAGGCAACTAAAAAATGGACAGCAAGCAATAGGGTTCTGGTGGAAATAGCCTGCACTAGGTCCTCTGAACAATTGTTATCTGCAAGGAAAGCTTACCATGCTCTTTATAAGAAGTCTCTTGAGGAGGATGTTGCTCATCACACAACAGGGGACTTCCGTAAGGTATTGATTCTCCGGCATATCCTAGTTATTAGTTGAAACCTGAAACAAGCATTTTAGAGTCTTGTTGTACTGTTATGAATATGTCAAATTTTGCATTAATATTTCCATTAAATGGGTTCTCATTAGAGTGTTTTTTAAGTGGAATAGAAATGGTTAGTAGGTAAATTGTATAAACATTAAAAGTTAATTGTTCTCACTAACTATTTATCTGATCCTGTGCAATGTCATGATCTATTTGTTTGGATAGACTACATATTATTTAATGTTGTCTGGGGATCATGCATTACTATGTGTTCAACTTGTTTTAGTGATGCAAAAAAAATAAATAATGGATGATTGACCAAAACTAATGTGGCCTAGTTTCATCTCAATGAATTGTGGGTTGTGGCCTCTGATTAGCCTCAAGTCAACTACATTACAAAATGCATGATCAAATATTTTAGAGCTTCCTCTGTCAGAAACAATTGACCGGATGTAGATTCATATTTTCTCAAACGCGAATTGAATTTTTATTTTGTATTTTGATCATGAAGAGTTTGAACTATATTTGAGATTTTCTTTTGGCTATCTAACTATTTTTCTCACTCTCTTCACTTCAAACTGTCAAAATTAGCTTACATTTGGTTTCTCTAGTTACTACTACCTCTGGTTAGTTCTTATCGGTATGAAGGAGATGAGGTCAACTTGACCCTGGCAAAAACTGAGGCAAAATTGCTGCATGAGAAGATTACAAATAAAGCTTATAATGATGACGACTTCATCAGGATTTTGGCCACAAGGAGCAGAGCACAGATTAATGCTACTTTGAATCACTACAAAGATGCATTTGGAAAAGATATCAACAAGGTAACATAGTTCATCCTATATTGCATGCGCATCCCCTATTTTTTCTATCCCTACTAACCCTCTTAATTGTTTGAAAACATTAATTATACTATAACACTCCTTAGACATTACACAAACCTCCTTTAATTGTTTGAAAAACATTATACTGTGTTGTCCTATAAGGGAGGTTGTTGTAAATATTAAAAGAGCAAAAATTATATTCAATTTCATGAAATCTCAGGAGGTGTCAGTGTAACTTAGTCTCCTCAAATATGTCAAAAACGAACAATGTATTTAAGTTGTGCACCCCACTGCTCAATTGGAGTTTTGACAGCATCCCATTTTTGTTTCATGGAAACTGGTTAGATTGAGGTGCATTTTGTGGTCAATGTTTCAGGACCTGAAGGCTGATCCAAAGGACGAGTTCCTAGCTCTATTACGAGCAACTGTGAAGTGCTTGGTCCATCCTGAGAAGTACTTTGAGAAGGTTCTTCGTTTGGCCGTCAACGGGCGAGGAACTGATGAAGGAGCACTTACAAGAGTTGTGGCCACAAGGGCCGAGGTTGACTTGAAAATTATAGCAGATGAGTATCAAAGAAGGAACAGTGTCCCTCTTGAACGTGCCGTTGCGAAGGACACCACTGGTGACTATGAGAAAATGCTTCTGGCGCTTTTAGGACATGATGTTGCTTGAATATTCCTCTGTGGTACCTGTGGCATAGGTACTAAATAATTTGTGGTGTGCTGGTTAATTCAATGGTTCCATGTTATTGTTGTGTTTTGGGGCCATTATTGTCTTCCTAAGTTGAATAAAATAGACCACTTTGGCTCACTTGGTGGAGTTTTGAAGACCCTAGAATTTGTGTGGTTCAGATTTTGTAAATCACGAGTGACTTTTACGAAGTTAAATATGTAGGCAACAAAGATTGGTTTGTTGGTGAGAATGTGACTTTTACTCCTTAAGAATAATATTTTTCTAATTGGAAAATATTATAAAAATCGTTAAATGTTTTGGAAATTATTTTTTTTGAAATTTCAACACCTCTCTTGTTGAGTCCAAAACTTAATTTGCGCATATCAAAATCCATATATAAGACGTCCCCAAGGCACAAATATTCATTCGTTATTATTTTCTTAAAGATATGGTTTGATTTCTTTTTCCCCGTTGAAATTGTCACTTGTCAGCCATGTTCTCCTTAAATGAATATAAGGAAACTTGTTCAATGACTCCTTAAATGTCAATAAATTGAATTACGATTAAAGTCATTTAATTCTATAAATGTTTTTATAATAAAAATTAAATTTATAATATTATTAATTAAAATTAACTATTTATATTGGTGTTAATAATTAGGTATTTATTTATTTATTATATATATATACATATAAGATCGAAGGTTGTATTGAATTAATTTTAGCTAAAACTTCAGCAGAGACATTATTATCATTTTGATGCACCTTGAAATCCTAATTAGTCTTCCTTATATACAATATATTCATACAATTAAAATTAGGGAAGAATTTATCCGTTAAAGAATGCTCTAATAAATAAATGTTTGAATAACCCCAATTTATTTTATCCGTTAAAGAATTTATAATAAATATGATCATGATATTTTTATAAATATAGTATATGTTTTATATAAAATTGTAAAAATTAAATATATAAAATTATTTTCTTTAATATGTGTGAAATTTATTGTTTTTGTTTATATATAAGTTCATAAAAAGCAATCGTGATAAACATGGGAAGGAAAATCTGTATAAATTATAGGATACAATAGTATGTTTGTTTTTTTTTAAAATAAATAAATAAATAAATATTGAGTGTTTGAAAATATTTAAAAAGTGGGAAAATAAGAGGTTTTGGGGAGAACGTATAAGAAAGAAAATGTGTCTGGAATGGCACAAAGTGCAGTGAGTTACCCTCTCAAACAAGATAAAAAAGCTCCTTCCTCCTCCAGTCCTCCAGTCCTCCTGGCTCCTGCGGTTCTCGCTCCTTCCTTTTCTCCCGAAAACCAATCCTCCTCGCATCGCGTAACGGATTCCACACTCCTTCTACCTAACCACTCCTCACTGACACCTGTCCTCTACATCCACACCTTTTTCTATATCTACGTTTATGCCTTCCCGTCTTTCTCATTTTCGATTAACATATCCCAAAATAACGCCTCAATGAGATACCAAGACCTAGCACCGTCCTTCAACTCTTTTCCCAATCCTAATAACGCTCTCAACAACCTTCACCGTCGCCACGTCGCCTCCCACACTTCCGCTGCCTTCCACGATGTTGATGTGTTGTTATCTAATGATTTTTCTAGAATGAGTGTTTTTCATGAACAAGGAAATCTAAATGTTAATGTTATGGACTCACTCTCACGCTCACCTCACACACAATGTTCCTCTGATGTGAGGGGACATGTTCAACTGCAGAATGAGAATCCATTATTTCATGCTTCTAATTGCAATAAGAGAACAATGGACTCTCATGTCACAACTCCCTTTATGTTATCTCAACCCAACCGTCTTACCACAAACACTAACACTCCATCTTCACATTATTTCACTGCAGCAACAAGCGACAGTGAATTTTCCCACTCTAGAGGGGACCCTGTAATATTCCAATGTGACAGTGTCAGTGGTTTTATCATGCAAGACAAGGATGTCAAGTGTTGTGTTGGTGGTAGAGGGAGCGATTCTTTGTTGGGTTGCAATGAGGCTTTACCTTTTCCTCGACTCGTTTCTTCTGCCAGACGTGAAAAGAGTAGCATTCTCGCGAGTCTCTCTCCTTGGCCCTTGTTCAACTTTGCTCCTTTGGCTAAGTTCCAAGGTTACATTTATCGCCTGGCCAAGGATCAGAACGGTTGTCGCTTCTTGCAGAGGATAGTTGATGAGGGTACCTCTGAAGATGCGCAAATAGTGTTTAATGGAGTCATAGATGATGTTGTGGAGCTTATGATGGACCCTTTTGGGAACTACCTTGTGCAAAAGTTGCTTGATGTGTGTGGAGAGCATCAAAGGTTGCAGCTTGTGTCAATGCTGACTAAAGAACCAGGCCAGCTAGTCAGAACATCTTTGAATACACACGGGTATATGTTGAACTAAAACATTTTTTTTTTTATCATAATGCACATGCTGAATTGATGATGTTACTGTTTCAGCACAAGGGTGGTTCAGAAGTTGATTGCCACTGTCAACTCTAGAAAACAATTTGTGATGCTGAGGTCTGCCATTCAACCTGGTTTTCTTGATCTTATAAAGGATCTCAATGGAAATCATGTCATACAGCGTTGCTTGCAATACTTTAGCTGTAAAGATAATGAGGTAGTATAGTATAACAATTCTCTCTTTTGCTTCTTGTTTTACTTTTAAAGTGGACAGCTAACGCTTCTTACATTTAATTGAAAAAATGTTGATGTAGTGCATAAAGGGAAAATAAACCTGCAACATATCAAGCAATTGGGATTTGAAATTTAATGTCAATTTTTGTTCTAAGATGTATGGAGCTATTACCATTACTGATCTTGATTAACATCATCATCCTGGCATAAAATGGTCTTTAATCAATACAACTTAAAGCACAGGGCATTCCTGTTTCATTCAAGTT